GCCAGCCTGTCTCTGGTCGTGGCGCTTCTGGCGCTCCTCTGCCACCTGCGCAAGAAGCAAGGCGTCTCGCTGGCCGAGCCGGAGTACAAGTGCGGGGCGCCGGGCAAGGAGGCGGTGCTGCGGCGCGAGGGAGCCGAGCGGACGCCTCAGAGACTCTGAGGGGCCTGCTTCCCTCCCCGGGTGTCCGCCTCTCCGCCCTCTGGTGGTGCCCCCCCCCGCCCCGCCTTCCTACTCAAAGCACCTTAGCTGGCATTGGAACTGGAAAAGACCCTCACCCCTCTTCTTCCGCGGCTTCTGCACAGGGCTGGGGAGGGGGACTGGCCGGCTCAGGGCCCAGCCCGTCCCTGACGTCGCCGCACAAGTGGGCGGAGATGGTCGTTTTAGAGAGACAGCCCGCAGAGCGCCCATGGCCTCACCAGGGGCACAGGAGGCCTGAGCGCTGTCGGTTCGGGCGGCCCCAGTGGACTAGCGAGCGTTCCCAGTCACGGACAGTGGCCACGGTATTTATTATTATTTTTTTTAACTATGTAGGGTTTCCGTCTCTGCTTTTTCCCTACCTGAGTGTCTCCAGTACCCATTGCATCCCTCCGCCCTTCCTCCCGGCTCTCCCCTTCCTCTTCGCTGCATTTATGCGCTCCCACTGTCGCGGGGCCCTTAAACTCAGTGAAATTTCTCCCAGCTCTCTGGCATTTATGAAGCCGCGCCCCATTTCATCTGGCTCGGTTCTCCCAATCTTCCCTCCCAGGAAATCAGCACTCACCTGAGTCAGCGGCCGGTGTCGGCCCTGCCTTCTACTCTTGGCTGTCTGCCCAGGCAGAACTCCGACGTGAGGCAGACACAAGAAACTGACACCGCGGACGGTCGGGAACTCGCTCTCCCACCAGCTTTGCTCAGTTACCCTGGAGCGTCAGGCTTCCGAGCAGCGTCATGCTAACCACGATGAAGACCCGAGAGGCGTTTGCTGAGCTAGTGTTGGTGGGCTGTCATAGAAACTCACCCAAGGAGATTTTTATTTTCGCTTTTTACACAACGAATCTGGGTTTTCTTGTTGCTTTGGTTTGGACTGAAAAGCAGTCGTTGTTAAGTCTCTTATGCTGTGTCTTTTCTGACGGTTATTCCTAGCCGTACTGTGGCTACTTATTTTTGACAGTGTTGAAAACGTTCATTCACGTGGTTGCTGTACATTGTGAGACGGAAGCCCCGCCCAGGAGACAGTGTAAGAAAGGTTTGGGCTGCACCATTCAGGCTGATGACCATTTTGACTCTCACTGTTCTTATAATCTGTCGGCCGACATAAAACCAGTTGCTGCTGGTTCTCTGGATTTGGGGGTTTGGGGATGGAGCCTCTTGGGCGTCCAGGGTCTCACCTGGATCAGGCCCTTGAGGATTTCTGCCCCTTCCGAGGCGCCTGCCCAGCCACGTGGAACAGGATCTCGAGGCAAGAAGCGGAGCCGCCCGGACCTCTGCTTGGAAATGCAGACCCCGAGGCTCTGTGCACCTCCTGCTGCAGAATCTGCATTTTGACTAGATCAGCAGGGGGCTGTCTGCTCGGCAGAACTGGAGGGGAGCTGTTCCAGGCAGCTCCGACCTTCTGGGACAGATCACCTATGGGTCAGTAAAAAGTAGTGGGCCGAGTCAGGCCCTATGTTCTCAAGAAACTGAGGCATCTTCACACGTCAGCTTTGCTGTCTGCCGGAGGCGCCTAGGTACACCCGGCGCGGACGCTGCTGCACGAGGCCTCCGCTCCGAGTGAGCTGGGAGTGAGACGCCGCGCGCTTCGGTGTGCGGGAGGAACGTGTCGCGTAAAGGTGTCTGTTGTAAAGCAAAGGTTTCTGCCACTATGTTGTGAACTCAGCACGTGTGTACATAGTTATTTATTTATTGGAGATAAACTAGAACACAGGCGAACCCCTGCTTCTGACGCCACATGCAGAAAATAAACAGATAACTGAGGGCTCTTGGGCTTCGCGTTTGTCCGCCCCCCTCCCCCGCCCCTCGCGGTGCGTATTAAACGGGCTCTGAACAATGCGGATGCCCAGAGGTGCCTTTAAAGGCGCCCCCCATCCTGTCACGAGTTCCAGCTCCTCATGACTCCCTCTCAGACTTTCAGGAATCTTTCCAGAGGCGCTTGCCTTCACCGCGGCAGGACTTACGTTGTATCTGTGTGCACAAATATTTATCTTTTTCTTCCTGTAACAATAACAACTTCATACACAGGACTTACGTCTGTGTGCTTTAAAATCCATTATCAAGCTATTTGTTGGGATGAGTTAAAGAAACAGCCCTTCCTGGGGCGTCTCTAGAATCCTGGCTGGTGTCCTTTTGCGAATGGTTTGGCATTGTCTGCTCCCGGGGACATCCACACAGCAGAGCCGTGAGGGGCTGGCCTGTGGCTTGAACGCAAGGTTCCACGCAGTGTCAAGGCCTCCTCGTTTCCCTCGGAGGGGAGAGGCGCTGTCTTCCTAGCACACACACTTCTTGGGCCCCTTCCCGGGGGTGGTAGAGCAGGCCGATTTTATATGCTGTGCTCCGAAAGCTTTCAGAAAGCAGAAATTAGGAGAAAATTGGGTTCGGTCAGATACATTAAATATATAAAACCATTTGGAAAACACTGAA